AGGGAGGTGGTGCCATTCAGTCTTAGAATGTCACTCACGGTTCTTTAAAGCAGAGGTTCTTAATTATGATATTGGTATGAGCTTTTCTCTACCTTCCTGATTTACATATATTCAATAACATATTGGAAGCCAAATGCTTGAAAGTTCAACAGTAGACTTATACATACTAAGGAATGTGGTGACTGCAGTTTCTGAGAGCTAAAATTCCATAAGATCACTAACTGACCCAATGGGTAGTGATAACATTCATAAAGAGCTTTGACCTGGGCAGAACCTGATCTCTGAGGCAGTCAACTATCATAGATTGGCACTGTCCTTCAGGGCAACTGATGCCTATCCCTGGATACCACCTTTGAGCTTATGGTCAAGAAGCTCATAACTTGTAAAATTCTTGGCAAGCTGGGGACCTGGAGCAGGGATTGGAAGAAAATGTTATTTTCCCATTACATTACTGCTGTGTCCAAAGGGCATTGGCCAGCTGCCTGCAACCTAGTGTGCTCAGTAGGCTTCACTTCAGTGGAGAAATCAAGAGTGAGGTTGAAAAGGATAGACAATGAATGAGTAGGGCAATGTGGGTGGGGGTGGGAGAGATAGGACTGGGGGAAGGGACACCGTATCATTGAGCCACTTTGTGCTATTAAACTCCAGACTCCAGATGTAACCCTGGATTCTGTGGGAGAATACTTACTTGGTGTTGGGGGCAGCTACGAGGTTTATCCTGAGGGTTAGGGGAGAGGGAACAAAAGGTATTTCAAAGTGCATGGTGAGGCACTGCTCCAGATGCTGTTCTACACATGGCCTTGGCAGCGAGCTGGGCCCTTTCTTCCAGGGTTACTGTACCATGTGACAGCTACAAATAATTCTTTGAAAGCCAGTTATAAGACATTACTGTAAAATGAATGGATGTGAGTATAGCTTGAAATTCACATTTATTAAAGAATGAGTGCCTATATTAATAAAGTACTTTGCAGATTATTTTTTGGAATTAATTGGATTTCAGGTTATACTTATCGTCACATTAATTTATACAGTCAGTGGGAGATTGGTTCCAAGACCTCCTACAGATACCAAAATCCATGGATGTTCAAGTTTCTTATATAAAATGGTGTAGTATTTGCATATAACCTGTACAATCCTCCTGCATGCTTTAAATCATCTCTAGATTACTTATAATACCTAATACAATGTAAATACTATGTAAATAGTTGTTATACTGTATTGTTTAGGGAATAATGACAAGGGGAAAAATCTGTGTATGTTCAGTACAGAAGCAGCTATCTGTTTTTTTTTTGTTTGTTTGTTTTTTCTGAGTATTTTCAATCCACAGTTGTTTGAATCTATGGATGCAGAACCCACAGATATGAAGGGCCAACTGTATATCCATATAATTTCTTGAGTAGGAGAGAAAGCAAGCATGCTGGGAATTGCTTTCTGAATACTCACAGAAGAGTGTGTCAGACACAAGAATGTCAGCAGGAGAAAAAGGTGAGAACTACTGTTCCAAATAATGAAAGCCTTCTCTGACTAACATTTTTTCAATTAAGTACTCCGATTTTTGAAAGGAAAGATTACAGATGCAAGGTTTGTGAAATTTCCAATATGCTAGGAGAAAACTACTGAACTGTGGGTTTCATAGCCTCCCTCATCCCCCTTTGTCACCTTAATTGCTTCCCTCTTACTACTCTGTCAAGAGAAAGAAGAAAAGCTTCTTAGTTGAATTCTTGAGAAAAAAGCAATTAAAGTGGAATAAAAACCATGGGGACCTTGTGGGTGAGAGTTATGTTGGCATACTAGTGTGAAAGATTCTGAGAGTTTGGGGATACTAGAGAAAAGGAGAGTGCAGAAGAGTTTAGTAAGAGTTGCTGTGGATGATACACTTAGACTCCTTTACATGTTTGAGAGATATCTGGCAGAAAAGATTGAAATTCTACACTACGTCATGTTTCCTTAATCCAACATCACTCTGGTATAGACAACTGGGCTCTGAAACTTGGGAGCTGGAGGGGCAGTGTCACAGTTTAATAAGCATACAACAAACCAGGTGTTCTTTAGCTAACACTGCTGTCCCTTAATCTACATTGTCTCTTCTCCCTAAGCAGTATCAGTTTTCTGGGATCAAGGACAGGGTGAGTGGGTGGTATTTGAGGTAGATGCATAAACAAGGAGAACCCTTTCAGTCTGCTGTGAAAATAAGAATGATGATAAAGGCTCTGGCATGATACCATTAACCTGATTCTTTTAGTTTCTCACACAGAGATATGTTATGAGCAAAAGCAGTAGCACATTTGTTTTTGTCAGAAACAAGAATAGCAAATCCGTCACAAAAACTTCCACTTGGTCTCCCAGAGATTAGACTTTAGAATTGAATCCAGCTGCCAACTTTACATAAAGCACCTAACTCCTGGCCTGCATCGGTTGTGCTATCATAGAGCTTGCCACTACTGGCCTGTCCAGTGGATTACTACACTAAATCATGAACCTCTGGCCCTCAGATCTGACCTCTTATCTTGACTTTTTGGCATTTTCTCATCTTAGATTCTTTATCAATATTTTCCAAATATGATGATCATTCATCATCTTGAAAAAAGCAGAGAAGAAATTGTTTTATCTGCTTTTCTTCAATAAGCAGACTCTTACCTGCCTGCTTCTATAGCTATAGGACAGCTAGACAGCTTTGAGGAGAGGCACTGGCTGTGGAATCTGTTAACTCTATACTACAAGAAGCTTAGAGTAAATGTTTTTAGTTTACGGATACCAATGTCCTCTTTCATTAATGCAGACTCACCCTATGGTCTCTTTCTTCTAGCTCTTTCTCCTCAATATTAAAGCATGCCTAAGTCTCTTCAATAAAACATGTAAAAACAAAAACCAAGAGACATTTCTTCTAACTACTTCTCTTTCCCATCAGAGACAGGTTTCTTAAAAAAAAAAATTTAAAAAAAATAGTGCTATGTATTGCTCTTCTCTCTGACCTCAAATTCAAGAGACATTTCTTCTAACTACTTCTCTTTCCCATCAGAGACAGGTTTCTTAAAAAAAAAATTTTAAAAAAATAGTGCTATGTATTGCTCTTCTCTCTGACCTCAAATCCACTCCTATTGCAATCTGTCTTCCACATTTTACTGGAAATGCACTTGCAAAGACTGCCCATGAACACCTGAACAGGTCTTTTGCTGAAGCTCTGTGAAACCCTGGACACTGCACTCCTTGAAACTCTCTCCTCTTTTGGCTTCTACAATAACGGCTCCTTTTCTGTTTTCTTCATTACCGGTCTGGCTCTTTCTCAGGTTCCTTTGGGTACTATTTTTAAGTTCATGTCTTAAATCTTCATGTTCCAGAGGGTTGCATTCTTTTCTTCTGTTTATTTGCATTCTTTAGGTTCTCTGGGGGACATCTAAACTACATTTAAAGCTTCAGCTACAATCTATATGCTGATGATCTCCCAATCTACATCTCTAGCCAAGATCTTTTCACCTGAGGTTAAACTTATAAATATAACTGCCTTGAATATCTCCACTTAGTTGTCCCACTGGCATCTCCAACTCAACGTATTTAAATAGTCTCATTTCTGTTCCAAAATCTTGTCTCTTTTCTGCTCTCAGTGGTAATACCATCGATTAGCTTGTCTAAAAAAGAAACTCGACAAACGTACTTGATCCTTTCCTCTCCTCGTCTGTCCATATTCAATCAGTGATCAAGACACATTAGTTTTCCTCGCCTAATAATAAATCCATTCTCTTATCTCCTGACCCCAAGCTTATTCCCACTTCAGAAGTGAGGCTGTGATTTTTTCTAGTTTTGATTGCTGAAAACATATAACTGTTTCCAGTCTTGTTCCTTGTTTTGCACTCGCAGTCTAAATCATCCCTAGAGTGATTTCAGAAATGCAAATATTCTTTTGCTCAAAATCCTTCAGTGGCTGTCCATTGCTTTTATGATAAAATCTGAAGTAGCTTTTTCCCGTCCTTTACTGCTTCCTGTGTTGGCCTGCTTTAGGGAAGATGGGCTAAAGTAATAGTTTAATCTCTAGCTATTTCATGCTTGACTTCGCTTTACTGAGGCTGCCAATTAGTGATTTAGAGGTGAACTCTTATGTGCTCTGCTGTGAACTGAGGCCTGTTTCAAATAGTCCTTGAAGATCCTCAGCCTTATTGTCATTAAAAACCCACACTGACTTGAACCTGTGACCTATAGTTGAACGTCTGTATATCTCCTTGGCCATCCCCTGAGTCAGGAAAGTGAGCTTTGTAAATGCTTTGGTTATTTCTAAGTCCAAATTGGCCTAAGTAAGGAAATACATTTTCAGTCTAATGATATTTAAAATGTAATATTTTGAAACATAGATGATAGTCTTTTTTTTTCTTCTGCTCTTCCCCTTCTTATAATTGCTTTTCACAGAGAAGTAAGTAGATCTTCTTAACTCTACTGACTTTTTAAAAATGGTGTATGAGTGCTTTCATTTTCTCGTGTTGTCATCTGTACATTTCTGGTTTTAGGGATGGAAAGTAACAACAACTGCGTGTGATCATATCAGCAGGAAACATTCTTGCTCCTGGCTCATTCACAAATTGCCCCTGTCCTGCTTGCCATTTCAAATCAAGGGACAGAACACAGAATGGACAAGAAAATTAAGGGGGCTGCACACACACACACACACACACACATACAGATTCTACTTATAAAGGTAAGGAAGAATCACTAAATCAAAAAACGCTATGTAAATGTCAAAGACTCACACAGGAAAAATATAAACCAGGTAATTCAGAAAGATTAAATAGAGAGGAAAGAGAAGGGGAATGTGTTTTCTTGTGGGGAAAAAAAATCCACTTTTTCTTTAATGTTAATAATTTGCTTTTTCGGCTGATAAATAAAATATTGTTTATACAAGGTAGACAACTATATAGTACCAAAGCAAACTTTTTTCTTTCTATCTGCCTGTCTATAGTCTGAAAGAAATTATGATTGTCGAGGGAAAAAAAAATCAACATTATTCACCTTACACAAGGATGTCCTCCACCAGGGTGTGAAGGGCACTGGGATTGCGGATCAGTTTGTCAAGGAAGCCAACAATGTCAGTAAATTTTGGTCTGTGATTTCTCTCCTTCTGCCAGCAATGGAGCATCAGCTGGTGTAGAGATGCTGGACAGCCCATGGGAGCTGGAAGTCTGTAACCTTCTTCGATGGNCATAAAAACTTAATGTGAGTACAAGCGGTCCAAACAACGATAAATACAAAAGTTGTGAACAAGAATTGTAAGTAGCTCCATAGAACCTGCTGACCCTTTTGAGAGGAAAATATGTTTTGAACATGTGCTACCAGTATACAGAAGGTGGTTAAGTTTTATTACAGTCTCAAGAAATAGTTTTTGTGTGATTTAGCTGGAACATCTCAAAGTCAGCATAAGATCGATGCATTTAGTGCAAACCACATGTGACAAATGTTTTAAGTAAAATTTATGTAAAATTCTGCTGAAGCACTGAATCATTTTTTTATCCTTTTATAACAATGTCAGTATGTATTCCTTTTTTCTCACTGTCATTCCCTCTTTCTTCTTTATCAGGAAAAAAAATCCACTTTTTCTTTAATGTTAATAATTTGCTTTTTCGGCTGATAAATAAAATATTGTTTATACAAGGTAGACAACTATATAGTACCAAAGCAAACTTTTTTCTTTCTATCTGCCTGTCTATAGTCTGAAAGAAATTATGATTGTCGAGGGAAAAAAAAATCAACATTATTCATCTTACACAAGGATGTCCTCCACCAGGGTGTGAAGGGCACTGGGATTGCGGATCAGTTTGTCAAGGAAGCCAACAATGTCAGTAAATTTTGGTCTGTGATTTCTCTCCTTCTGCCAGCAATGGAGCATCAGCTGGTGTAGAGATGCTGGACAGCCCATGGGAGCTGGAAGTCTGTAACCTTCTTCGATGGACAGAATGACCTAAATGCAAACATACATAGATTATTATCTTACTTTTGGGGATGGTAATTAATATGCTAAGTTATAATTCCTTATGCTAAGGATAATTTGGGACAATAATTCATATGCTAAGTTATAATTCCTTTTTATACAAGCAGCACAAGCCAAAATACTGGTAAGCATAAAAACTTAATGTGAGTACAAGCGGTCCAAACAACGATAAATACAAAAGTTGTGAACAAGAATTGTAAGTAGCTCCATAGAACCTGCTGACCCTTTTGAGAGGAAAATATGTTTTGAACATGTGCTACCAGTATACAGAAGGTGGTTAAGTTTTATTACAGTCTCAAGAAATAGTTTTTGTGTGATTTAGCTGTAACATCTCAAAGTCAGCATAAGATCGATGCATTTAGTGCAAACCACATGTGACAAATGTTTTAAGTAAAATTTATGTAAAATTCTGCTGAAGCACTGAATCATTTTTTTATCCTTTTATAACAATGTCAATATGTATTCCTTTTTTCTCACTGTCATTCCCTCTTTCTTCTTTATCGCCTATTTAATTCCTTTTCACTTACCTCTGGCTTTCCCTTTGTCGGACCCTGGCCTCATTATAAAGTCACTCTCCTATAACTTGTAAGGTCATTTAATCCTTTAAATGTGGTCAATGGCTAAATGTGGTCTTTAAGCCACAGAGCACCAACAGCACTCAGCCTCAGTATCTTTTGGGCCAGCACTCTCCAACAGAACTTGTGTGGTGACGAAAATGTTCTCTCTGTACAACGTGGTAGCAACTAGTCACATTGCGGCTACTGCGCACTTGCAATATGGCTAATAGAACTGATTTAAATTTTAATTAGTTTTAATTAATTAAAATTAAAATTTAAATGGCCACATGTGGCTAATAACTACTCCATGGGATGGTGTGGCTTCAGAAAAAGGAATCTGTTTAAGAAATCAAAGTTAAGAGTGATGATGAGATGACTAAGTTATTTTTCTTGGTACTTAAGAAATATACAAGATAAGGGCCGGCCTGGTGGCGAAGTGGGGCCGGCCCGGTGGTGCACTGCTACAGTGCGCCGCTTGGGAGCGCAGCGGCGCTCCCAACGAGGGTTCGGATCCCACATACAGACCGGCGGCTCACTGGCTGAGCAAGGTGCGGGCGCAGCACTGGGGGTTGCGATCTACCTGGGAATTTCCTAAAAATGTGATAAAGTTAATCCTGAATTTATGTAGCTTAATTTTTAATAAAATGTTCAGAGGTATATATGTGAATCTTTATCCTTATACCATCTCTGGGAGAAACCAAGGAATAGGTTTATTCACCCCGTTTTTGAGGTGGGGAAAATGATAATCAAACTGATATTGAAAGACAGGCTCGATTCAACTTCACTCCCGCCCACTCCAACAACAGAAAGTAAAAGTGTTAATATCATTAGCAGAACTCTCTATTGGAGCATCATCTACACGTTTTTATAATTTCTCTTTTTTTTTAAAAACACTGACAACTCATTTTACTTTCTGTTTTAATTGACACTATTTGACATGACTTAAATATCCTTAATTTGTGTTAGAGGCAGCTTGTAAAAAAGGAGCAATAATGTGTCCTCAGGAACCTCTTAACTGCGAAGTTTTACTTTTCTAGTATTAGGGAATTTCTCATAATCCCGTCAGTGTTTTTGCAACTTTAACCTGTCAGCACACTAGTATTTTTCTATTCATTTTGTATTCCATTACTGAACAGGATTTTTTTCTCATCTGATTTCTGACTACTTTTGTTACCAACTAGGCTTGGATTTTAAGACATTTTGTTACACATCTTAGTAAAGCAGGATATATTTAAAAATGCTTGCAATTCATCAGAACTACTGTGGATAGCATAGAGAAGTAACTAAGAAAAACAGGATAGAATTCCACTATAAAACAACTTTGAAATACCACCGTAGGAGCACCTGATAATCAATTTGCCAGTTACCTAATTATAATTGCATGGAATAAAATAGGTGACAGTGAGGTGACATTCTGAAGAAAAAATCATTGCCTTTATTGAGTATCTACCATGTGCTAAGTGCTTTGCATATTTTTCATCGTTTACTGTTTAAAATAACTCAGTGTGGTAGTTATTATTATCTCTGTCTCTTAACTGAGAAAATTTAGACTCAGAGAGGTTAGAAAACTTGCCTAGATTTACAAAGTAAGTGGTAGAGCTGGAATTTGTACTTAGTTTCTTTGAACTTACAAAATTTTCCTCTGGCCATTCCCCAGAAATGTTCAGTTCTCATGATACACATCTTCCTCTCAAATTTCATATCACCCAGCACAATTTTAGTAGTGATTACCATGTTATCTTTTGTCATAGCATCTGCTAGTTAGACTTCAATGTTTTTATGTGAATCCTTAGTTTAATATTCTGGGTAAATTAAAAACATATTTACTTTGTAGTTTGCAAAATGTAATCTCCAACTGAACAGTCATTTCTGAATACTTCTGAATCTTGTACACATTTCTATTATTGCAACTATTACATTGTATTATAATTTTTTCATCTTCTTTTCCTCTAAGGATGTCCATACTTGAAAGCAGGAATTATGCCTCTTGATTTTGTATTCGCATCATCTAGTACAGTGACCAACACATTAAAAAATATTAATAACCAGAACGAAAGCTATTGAAGAATTTTTGGATTAGTCTTAATAAAGGAAAACTTTATCAAGATTCTTAGAAAACTTGGAGTGCCAAGCTACTAAAATGATTCCAAATACAAGCATGACAACATTTAAAGTCCTTTCTGAGAGAAATATTAATTTTAAAAATGGTGCATCAAGCAGCATTATCCAAAAATTTTATGATCTCCCTCTGGTTTGCTTGAACCAGTCAAGTAAACCTTGCTCTTCCCT